GCACCCCCGGGGAGGTACATTTGGCCCCACCACCTGCCCACCCCTGCACCTGGCCAGCCCCTGGATGTGCCAGTCAGAGCCAGAGGCCTCCCTGAGGGCCCCGCCCACCAGGGACTCACGTATTCCTCTTCCAGGTTGAGGATGTGGTCAATGGCTTCCTCCACATTCTCCGGGAGCCCCGTCACAGTGACGCAGTTAGGGTCTGGGGCTCCACTCTGTGGAAAGCGAATGTCCACCTGGAAGGTGCATACGATGTCAGCTGAGGAATGAAAACTTTTGGCCAAAGGGTCACAGTTATGTCTACCTCTAGCAAAGAGTTTTCCCTCTGAGCTAGTGAAAATTTAAAATCTGGTTTTCACAGTTGATCCCTCAAATAAGTCACCCTCACATCAAGTTAAACCAGTGCATTTCAAGAGCAGTTCCCCAGAAGACAAGGAGCAGGGTACGGGCTGTGCACTGCTGTGTGAAGCTCCCATCTGTAGGTTAAGAAACCTGCTGGGTAACCTGTGAGGTTATGTCCAGCCTTGCCTTCCTAATGGGCACCGCAGGGGTGCTACCTCTCAGCCCACTGCCTGGAGGCAGCACTGTCGTCTGTACTGACCAGCCCTGAAGACAGGGCAGCGAGCATCCTAGGGTGCTTTACCTTAGCACCTAAGAGGACGGCTACACCCTCATCTCCCTCCTGACTCTGGGTGGTCAGCAGCTTAGACAGGAAGATATTAGGCTGCCAAGCAGTCGCTGGGGAGAAGGGGATTCTCATATGCTGTGCTTCCAAGTCAGTTCAGGGCTCACCTTAAATTCATCCATGATTTTGCGGATGGCTTTGCCACGGGCACCAATGATACGGGCATGAACACGGTGGTCCAGGGGGACGTCCTCGGAAACCATCTGTTCAAGTTCACCCACAATTCTTAATATAGCATCCCGGGCAGCTTCTGTATTCTTTTCATACCCTGTAATGGTAATTTGGTCCTGGGACTAAAAAAGGAGAATGAAGTCAGAAAAGAGGGGATGACTTGTTGGGATTCCCAAGATGGGCAAGTGCTGGCCCAGACATGAGTGAGACAAGGAAGCACAGACACATGGATGCTGAGCGCCATCAGGCCTCACCTGAGGGGGAAACACTCATCAGCTCAGAAAAAGAAAGTGAAAAACATAATGGCTAATTTAAAATGACACAGGATAACATCTACTTAGCTCCTGCCCCTTCCCAAACCCCACCAAAAAGGTCACCAATTACAGGACTGAAAAGGACACCTGCCTACAAAGACAAAGGAGAGATGCTGATAGGTGAGAGCTCTAGATCCAAGGACAGAGGGGCAAAGACGTCCCCCAGTCCCTTGGCCTCCTGCTTCTTTGCCCGTTCAGGCTGTGCTCTGGAGAAGCCTCTGCATTGGAGACTGGTTGGCTGGCTGTCCCTCACCCATGGCAAGGCCCTCCCTCACTCAGAGCCTGGCTTCTCAGGTCTCCCTCAAACCATACAAATGGGCAAGAGACGCCACCAGACTCAGACAGAGGGTGAACAGGACAACCAGACAGTTCAGGAATGTAGAAGAAAATAGGCAAATTGTAATCACACTCTCTAGGACAGGAAAAAACAGCACATCCACAATATAAGAACAACACATAACAGAATTGGGAAACAAGGACAAATGCCTGGAAAGGAAATGGAAGAACAGAAAGACCCAAGCTGGGAGAGAAGGAAAGTCCTCCTGTCCAGACTGAAGCAAATGTCACACAGTGGGAGGAAGTGGGTCCCACCCAACACCGGCCCAGTAGAGCCAAGAACCTCTACTAGCCATCACTGCTGCCAGTAACAGAACTTGACAAATGGAAGTATAATTCTCACAGGAAAAAGCTGAGTATGAAAAATAATGTGGTCATGCTACCAGACTTGGCTCATGGTATATTAACTGAAATAGTCTAAATGTTAAAAGATACCTTAAAAAAACTGATAGTTATATGCAAAAGTAGAGGAAAATAAAAGGTGGTGAGGGTAAGGGGTTTAAAAGAGCTAAACCTGCATGATAAAGATTATTACAAATTA